AAGTCATACTGTAAATACCACCAATTGCAATAGAAATGTTGCCTTTTTTCAGAATTTGAGCAGAATATCCTCAAGTAACATTAATAAATGTGTGCTTAAACACATATTTGGATGCTGCTTTTGGTCTAAAGAACTGATATTTTAAAATATCAATCATTAATCAGGCCATGTGAAATGTATTTKCATGACAAAGAAATCTTCATTACTGATGTGCACCTTAAACCCCTACTAGTTTGTTAACAATTTGTTAATTATTTGATAACAGCCATTATTGTAATGTTTTCATTTTATCTTTCAAGGCGGCACGGTGGCTCAGTTGGTAGAGCTCTCAGCTAGAAGGTTGCCGGATAGAATCCCAGCTGGGGTGATTTCTGGTTAGGGTATTGCTTGTTCTCTTTGTGCATGTTGAAGAAATGGATAAAAAATAATAGATGAATTTTTATCCTTCAAAATACATAAATGTATACTCAGCATAAGGAACAGACTGGTTGTGAGCTTAAAAAAATCGCTACTTTATGCAGAAATGTTGATTTTGTTAATTAAACTTGTACTTCCAGTTTGATTCCCACAGGGCTTGGCATTATTACAAGTTTGAACAAACATGTCTACTAGCTCATCATTACAGTTACTGAACAATCTGGTTTAGTTCAAACAACTTGGAAAGAAAAAAAAATGTAATCTACTCTTCACTGGAAACTACAACATACAGATCTGATTTCTATTTCCCTCAGTACTGGAGAATATCTAAAGAGCTTATTATTTTCTTTAGTTCATTCAAAGAGTTTTTTTTCCCACTGACTGTTGATATTTTAGTGAAAGGAGAGTAAGCTGACTATCACAAGACAAACCCTCCAAACATTGTTAAACTTTGGTCTGATGCCAAAAGCTGTTAAGGAATCAGAAAAATGCAGACCACATTTTAACGCCCGTAAAGGCCTGACGAAGATCTGCAACGTACATTTCACAAGTCAAGACTTAAACACATTCCTAATCATTTGTCACAGATCATTAAACATGCTTCTCTACATTTCAAAAAATATTTTTAAACAAATCAGTAGATTTACTGTTATACCGAATATGTTTTCTTTTTCTATACAAAAAGCTATATTTATACTTGTTGACTATTCCATCCCTCTAATAACTATTTCAAGAAAAAAAGGGAAAAATCTAGCAACATTTTCTGATGCTACTGAAGACTCTCATGTAAAAACGCATGTTGTTCATAATCGATTCCTCTGTGCATAATGTCTGTGCTCTAACCGTCCAGGAATTTTAGGCTGTTTGACTCTTTATAAGTGTCTGGAAGAGACACTTAAATGGAGGTAATCTCTAATTGCCTCAGACAACTGCTCCTCAGAACTATTCGTGTTATTTTCAGGTACAACAGACAGCTTTTTCGAGTGGATTAGTTCAATCAAAATGCTGCCATTGTTTGAGCGTTTTTTCAGCGATATAAAAAAAAAAACAGGCCAATAAACATCTGGCCTGTGGCGGCATGAAGTTGGGAACAAAATGGCACAATTTCCATCACACAACTACAGCACATCACTGAGGGTATTTTTCTTAGGTTGGACCATGCAGAGGTCTTCAGACGTCCCAGTCCTCGTTGTTGCCCCTCTGCATTTAGATGGCAACAGCGTCGTTCAGGCTCAAAACCATTGGTGGATGATCCCATTCTTCTTTCTGCGTAAATGTACAGTTCTTTTTCATTTCAAATATAGTTCTTCACTAAAACAAATCAATGTAAGCTGGAGGGTTGGAATGTGACATTAAAAAACAAGAATCAATAGAAGAAGGTTCATTTGTAGTTTGAAACATGTTTGTCTTTGTACTCACCTTTTTTCTCTTAAATCATCGTTCCTCTTTTCTACACTGTCTGTTAGTCAATTACGCAATTTAGGGGATGAAGTCATTCATCGACTTCTGTACCCTTTACATTACATTCACATTACATTTTTTAGAGTTTATAAATAGCCAGCTTCTGTTTACTCCCTTCTCCTTCACTTTCCTCCTTTCCTTTTCTTACCTCTTGTCACATCCCAGCAAAAACAAGTGCTAGAGAGGAAGGAGAGGAAAAACAAACTTGAGTGCATCCCCGGTGTTGGACAAGATGATCACAATGCTCAAGGTCTTTGGTGTCACAGGAAAAGCATTGTGTCTTACTTCCCTCCCTACTTTTTTCTGCTTCTGAAGAAGAATAACAGGGGATGTTGAGGATTACAGGCCCCACAATATTTATTGTAATAGAGGACACACTGATCTTACTTCCTTTAGAAGCTGCAGCTTGCTGCCACTCGACTTATACAGTACATGCATGCGTGGGTTGAAAATACTCCTCAACAGGAACCTGGAAGTATTGCTAGTGAGTGGAAGCAGGAAATGGGTGGCTCCAGGCGTTGTGCCTCTGTTTCTGTCTCCACAGGAGCCACCATTAAAGAAACAACTGACAGTATTATGAACAATTGCCTCACTGTTTTAATTTAAAATGTGTCCTTCATCCATTAATTTTATTTACCCGCTTTTTTTTCTTCAGGTCACGGGGGTCACTGGTGTTCATGTCCAGCAATCACTGTGGGAAAGGTGGAGGACAAACTGGGCTGTCCTCAGTCCCGTTCTACACCTACACCTGTTTGTAGTGTTCATTAGACTCAGCTGTTGTACTTACAAAAATTATCAAAGAGAACATAAGGAACAAGCTAGAGTCAGACTGAGGAGCAAACAAAAAGCCAGGGATGTTAGTATTGAAGGTGTAAAGTAAGCACTCTTCTAATTCTTGGGTGCTGCTTTTAGAGATCGCTGTAGTACAGTGGTGCCCACTCCTGGTCCTTGAGGGCCTCTAATCCTGCATGTTTAAGATATCTCTGTGTTTTGACACACCTGAATTGAACAAATGAATGATTAACAGACCTCTGCAGAACTTGAAGATCTGCTTTAGCAGGGAAACAACCACAACATGTAGGATAGTGATTTTCAAGGTCCAGGATTGGACACCGCTGTAATCTCTAAAAGCAGCAGCCAAAATAAGTGTATAGAGTTTAGGATGCATGTGGTCTGCAGATTTACATCTCATCTTGGGTCTTCATGTATGGACTTTGCATGTTCCTCCATGCGTGTGTGGGTGCTCTTCTGGTTAACTGGTGATTCTAAAGTGACCATGTGCATGCATGTCTTTATGGTTCCTTTGTTTTGTTTAGTTTTTTTGTTGGCATTGCCATGAATTGGCAACCTGTCCAGGGTGCACTCTAACTCTCATCATATACATTCTGGAGTTAAGCTCCGGCTCCTTGTGACCCTGAGCTGGGTTAAGATGGGTGTATGTTTAGAGTCCACTATTGATACTGTATTTATATTACTCTATTATAATAACTTTTTGACGTCATRTAGCAATAGTGTAACAATGTTCTTCCAAACAATCAGGTGTGAAGCAGGTAAAGTTCTTCTCTAAGGTTTGTGTAGGTGATAATTGTGTATAGTCACCACACTATCATGGTGGCCTTTTTTCCCTCACCCCCTCCTCTGCCCTGCCAGCATCCTAAAGAGTCAAACTTGTGAAAGGAACAAGTTTATTCAGCGAGGGAGCCTATTACCCCATGAAAGGTCTCTGAAAGGCTGCCTAGCACATAAAAGTGATGACTGGACACTGTGCTGTGTGTGTGTGCATCTTTGTGAATGTGTGTGCAAGTATGGCCTATTGGCGAAGGGTGCCTGCACTTGAACTGGGTCTATTCACTGAAGTTTGGGGGTCTTGTGGTCTTTAATGTGACCAGAGCAGGGCAGAATGACCTCTGTGGGACTGGTCGGCACCACAGCCTTAATCCTCCTCCTCTGTGTCTTTTTCTGCCCCCCACCATCCCCTCCTCCTTCACTGTCAAAAAAAGAGGCCTGACTTTTTTATTCTACTCCYCTCTCTGCCGCCTATATTGTTGAACAGACAAGGAATGTCTTGAAGGTCTTTGGGTTTTGCAAGGTTGGATTAGGCAAAGACCAAAACCCAAAGTGTTGTTTTAAGAGAGATTTTAAGAAAAGTACTTGAAGATGTTTTATGAATCAATAATCATTTGACATAAAGATTTTTATAACTTTTTTTGTTTAGACTTCTCCATACAAGTTTAGCTCATGTTCTTTTAGATTCCTTCCATGTTCCACTAATGAAACCTGTTCAGTGTTCCACAAACTATACTGCTCATTAGCAGATGTGTCAAGGCTTTCAAAGATGCAGTGATCTTTACAACTGCTCTAGAAAAAGGTATTTAAAAATAGCTGATTGGTGAAAAACTTGTGGAAAGAGATAGCACAGTTATTGTGCACAGGAGACAGCTGCGAGACACAGGCGGCCATCTGCAAGTGTTCTTCCTTAGCTGCTTGCTGTCTGTGTACACAATAATTGCACTTTTTTTTCAAACCAAAGTGTTTTCAAACCAGGTTTTGGAGCGGAGGTTTTTGGAAACCCCGCACAGAGGTGTGAAATTGTGTGTGCGCATCCCAAACAGCTGTAGTCAATAGTTTAATTGTTTTTTTTGGCGCTTGCACAAGTAGATGAACATAAACGATGGTGAATAGCAAAATGCTGTTTGTGCTACTCAACCTTTTAAATGCGTAGGAGCAAGCCATCCTCATCCTCSGTCCCAACAAATGTTCATGTATTCACCATTTTAGATGTAATTGTTTTCATGCTTGAGACTGCTGCACATCTCGTTGAAAGCTATAAATCAGCTGTCATCAGTGCTTCCAAATTTACAGGAACTACCTTTTTTAAAAGATAGTTCCAGGGCCATGCCCCCTCCTTCTCTGTGCACACATTCATCAATCACAGCACACACTTCATCTTGCAATCTCAGGACCCCCATGGATCTACTGAATAATAAATCTAAATCAAGATATTTAGCTTTATTGAAAGTAGCGATCCTTACGAGCTGCTGAAGTCTGCAGAGCCGACACGGAGGCTGTGTTGACATGACTCTGTGTGACTTTCTCTGATATTATTAGTAACTATATCTTATGTAACCTGATCCAACTGTTCCTGCTGCTTTTGTAAAATTACAGTCAGAGTAGCAAGTTGCGAGGCAACAGAACTAGCTGGAGAATCAAGTTGGGGGGGGGACACACTGGCACTCTGTACAGCACAAAAAGAGGGGACAACACTACTTTTATTTTCCACCCCRCCCTCACGCTCCCACATAATTGCCTCAGCTCTAACCTCCAGTAATGTACAACTCGGATTATCACGAGCATAACGCTTTAGCTCTMTACGCAGGTCAGAATTACTAACATTTTGAATAAATTGATCACGAAGTAACAWGTCAGCATTTGCCATAGCATGAGGAGAATTAGATTTAACTTTGTCCATCAAGCAAAACAAGGAATGAGAGAATTCCTGCAAAGATTCACCATSTAATTGTCTCCGTGAAAAGAAGTCCTCCTGTAATAAGACATATGACTGTTGGCAACCATACAGTTCTTTTAAAATGGTGAAAACAGTTTCTGGATTCTCACGTTCAGCTGAGGATCTATATTTAATCTCATCTCGAGCTTCACCTTCAAGATGGTCAAAAATGAAAGCAGCCTGCTCTGTGGGTCCAACATGGCGGACTCGCATGCTGGTGCGAACCTCTTCTATCCACTCCTCCACACCGACACCATGAGTTCCTCGAAAGATTGGACACTTTCGCTCCCTCGGCAGGTAGATTATGCGATCAGTTGYCCYAGTGTTCATCGGAGCTCYMCTTGTACTCGGGCCAGCTTGTTCATCCCCCTGTTGATTTGAATTTGCTCTTGCAGAATCCCTCTCCTGCTGCAGAYGGCTCCTTTYGGCCTCCAACTGCTGRACTCGAGCCCGGAGTTCTTGAAGTTCCTCAGCCATCGCACCAGGAACRCTGATCCTCGTTCACAGGCRGAAWTATCCAGCCAGGTCCCACGAYGTGCCTACTGTTTCACTATTATGCTCCCACACTCTAAGCGCCCCAAACAATGAATAAATACAGCGATAATGCTCTCTACTAAAACACCACTACCACAGAACCAACACTATCGGTATCAGAAATGAATGTRAAAATATGTATACTATCTGTTCCAACAGCCAGACCCTTCCAACAACGCCAGAAAATTGTAACACGGGGGAAAGAACCCGGATTGTGACTGAGGACGTGGCCCTGAAGCCAACTGGTAGACTACTGAGATATCAAGTGGTCTAGAGTTTCCCTATTAATTGTACCCAGGTAGGTCTGGCTGAGAATGAGGAAACAGAAATAGTATACAAAATAGATTTTATTTATACATTCCTTTACAATATTAAATAGACTTTATTATCCTAATTTAAAACGCAATAAGGCTCAAAAAACCTAGGACAAGACTAGAAGCAATTGGAACAAAAAACAAATGCGAGCCAAATTAGTAGAAACACCAAATAACAATAATGTTAGACAAAAGAGAACAAACCCCACATTGCCCCAACCCAGTCCTAAGGCTGTGCCCAGCAAGCTAATAAAAAATATAGAGAGCTGTGCATTGTTTGTGGTGCTGCACTGYTTGTGGGAGCACAATAGGCAACAGCAGCAATCTGCAATACCAAAAGAAAACAATGACGCATCTGCTGACAATAATARACAGGTAGAGTAGTGACATCAAAAATCCATTTATCCTACCAGTATTAAATGTCCACGATCCGAACCCTCAGCAACCCGATGAGCACGGCGCCAGCGCTCATCTGACCTGAGAGCCAACTCCCCAACGGACCAAACAAACACACACAGATTGGCGTGCACACCCGGTGCCTATATACGCTTAATGAGCCCGACAAGGCTGAGAACGGAAGTGACGGTGGGGAACGGGACCTAGGTGTGTTCAAGGGCCCAAACCCGGWGGGAATTTACAACCACTGGATGCAACCCAYGTCTTCCAATAAAACCGCCCGGTTACACTTATATACTCCAAATGTGTACATACTGCAYAATAAGGAGCTTTTTGTGATTATAATCTGATACTGTGTATCCTACGTTCGTTTTTACAAGGTCAGATGGCATAATTTTCAAAACACTTTTCTGTTTATGGTGCGCAATCTTTTTTAAGTTAATGAACGTACTATGTGGTAACTAACCATGGTAGGAGTGATCTGAACACACTCTGGAATCACGAGGAGGGTGAAATCTTTGTGGTTGATTATCGCCAGCCACAAAATCGCATCGCTTTACCGACAGTTCTACTTCTTAGTGTTTTTACRCCATCTGTATTTTTTAAGAGCATCTCTCTGCCACACGAGCAGCACAGTTTTGTAACTAACTCGAACGCAAACTTGCTCCATGACTGTTAAAACAACTTATAATAGAAACAGACTATATAAACAATCTAGACTGTATTCATTTCTGTGCTGTAAACTATCCCCTCTTCCGCATTSGCAGCTACGAACATGGCGATTTGATCACGTGATCTGCAGGTCGCTGCGTCGTTTGAAAACCATCTATTCAAAATTTACCAATGTTTCCAGAGATCGTTCATGTGTAAATAAGGACGTAGGTGAAAATGCAACCAGAAAGTGAACTTCCTGCAACTTGGCTCCTTTTTGGAACATGCAGCATAAATTTATTTCCCAGATTTTTTTTTTCTCTTTTTCTCACAAATGAGGAGGGATGGCAACTTCATTAAAGCAAAATTGAAAGTCGGGATCAGGAGAGCAATGTTTTTTTTTTTTTCCTGTTTGACCATTCAACTCATCAGGAGCCCTTCACCCTGACACTGAATTTGTGGAAATACGGGTTTATCTCAATAACCTTGATTCATGGCAGAGACTATTGAATCAGATAGAGACATTTTGACAGTGAGGCTGACAGCAGCTGTATGCTGGGTGTGGGTGTTTCTGTTTACCTAAGCCAACATGTCAGTTAGACCTAGACAGCATTACATCTTGCAGCTAAAGGCACCACTTCCCTAAATGCAAATTGACAGTGTTTGTGTGTGTGGGGGTGTATGTGTGTGTACCTCTGGTTGGTTGGCACAGAGTGAACGTGCTTGTGTGTAAAGAATGATGTTTGTATCTAGAACATTCTTGTAACGTTAGAGCTGTGAGTCGATGTGGGTGATAAAAGAGGCAAACTATGATCCCTAACGACAGTAATCAGTAAAGCAGATACAGTACGTTTTTCTCTAGTGGTTTACACTAATGGTTCTCAAAGTTGATGGTGTCACCACAGTGTGGGTCACAATACACCCAGTAGGAGTCTTTAGATAATCTCCAGATGGTAACTTACATTTTTAAATGATTGCTTTTTGCACATTTTTCAGAGGCCGCTGGAGCTTGTTGGTCTGTGTAGTGGTCTTCTAATCCTGGGGTCGTGGGTTCAAGCTCATGGTTGCATTAGGAAAAGCATTCAGTGTCAAACAATTGCCAGAAAGTTTGTTTGAGTTTGCTTGCTGTGGCTACCCCTGAAAAAGAAAGCAGCAAAAACATAATGAAAGGCAAATATTTACCATTTTTTCCAAGAAATAAAAGCAGTAATAGTGAATTAATAGTTCTTAAGGCAGTTTGTCTGTTTGTTTCATTGGGGTTTTGGCAACTTTTGGTTATTTGACGTGCGGTCACCAGGCTTTGTCACTATAATTTTGATGGGTTGCAGCTAAGAAGCTTAGGAACCACTGGTTTGCATCATCCACAGGGGTAAACACTTTTTATTTTTCAGTTTAAAATTTCCAAAGTTTGAAAATATTTGTGGGTGCCATTAAACAGGGTGTGCACAGTGCATATACTAGATATAAAAACAATTTAGATTTGTTCACACGTGAACTTTTTAGTGTTATCAAAACAAAACCAGTGTTTATTTGTTCAGGTTTGYTTTTGCACAGGCAAAGACCAGGTAGTCTAAGACAAACCAGGGTCTTGGTCACATCTCCTGCTAAATGTCTGTGCATTAGATTGGTTTGTTGTTATTTGGAAAGTACTCAAGTCAACAACACATCCCAGGAAACAAACGAAAAAAACAACAATTTGTGAGCAAAGCAGGGATATTTTCTTCTACTCTAGAGGTACATTTTGCTTGTGTCCCTGCAGACACAGGGAAAATAAAATGAACAAACAATAAAACACATATTAAAAGTAAATCAGTTCCTGTTTAAAGCTCATCGTTTGAAAGTGCTAAAATGAACAACTAGTTAAGATCATGGGTACGCAAAAAGCAATTCTGTTAGTAACTGGAGATTTGTTTGGTGTGCTGATGCAATGTTTTTGTGTTGTTGTTTGTTTTTTGTTTGTTTGGTTTAATTTTTTGTTTGTTTTTCCTGGTATGTGTTGTTGGCTCTCGAGAACTGTCCATCTTTAAATATTAAAAAAAATACAGATTTTTTTCCCCTTTCTGGAAAAGGAGGGTAATTGAAGGAGTATAAATGTTCTGGGTGGTGTATTTGTATCACATCCCAGTTTATGCTTGTTGGGTTGGATGATGCTTAAAAATGAACTAATCAGAGATAGTTATAAATGTAGATAAAGCAGAACAACTGTGGCCCAATTCCACCCATTAAATCCATGCAAATGCCTTTTTCATTACATGTGGGAAAAAAAAGATCAAATAATTACTTCCTTTATTATTTCAACTTCCTGAATCCTGTTTTAAGACAGTAAACCTCAAACAACAAAGCTGCTTTAAACAAAGACTCAAGTTCCTCCACTTATTCTCACCAAAGCCAAAAAAATAAATAAAAAAATAAAAAAGTGAACGATCATGTAATAGACCTTTTGCACCTCTGCAGATATAGTCCGTTCAGTTGGGTGAAGGTTTTACAGCACATTGTCTTTCTTCAGTCTTATTCCACTTATATCAAAAGCCTAGGCTGAGGCGTTCCTGGCCTAGAAGTCCTGTCCTGGGTCTTCCACTGGGTCTCCTCACGGTGGAACGTACCTGGAATGCCTCACCATACCTTTATTTCCCTTAAATCCAAATGCCTCTGTCATTGCTGACTTGTAATCTTCCAGAATCTTCCAGTTAAAAATGTTTCCAACACCAGTAGAATGAATTCAGCCTGCCTGACTTGAACAAACTTTACCTTCTGAAGGTTTTAGTTTTTGGGGAAATAATGGCCTTCAACTCCTTCTTTGGGTGTAGCTACTGTTACTGCAGAGCTGGTAAACACATGGCTAAATGAGAATTGTTTGTTTGTTTGTTTGTTTGTTTGTTTGTTTGTTTGTTTGTTTGTTTGTTTGTTTGTTTGTTTGTTTGTTCAGAAAGCTTGTAGATGCTGCTTTGTAAATCTGTCTGCCTTCAGTCCGACTCTCCTGACTTTCATAGAACTTAAATGGAATGGAGCAGCCTTTTTTTCAGAGCAACAGTTAGAAAATTCACTTATTGTTACTGTCTTTGTTAAAACAAATTAGCTTTATTTTTAAAGAATTTCAATGACACATACCTGGAATGTTTATTTCTGTAACATAGTTTGCTGCTATATAATTAGAAAACATGGTTGGTTGTGGACTTTAAGGGTTAAGATAATTTGGGATCTATGTTTAAAACTTTAACATGCAAGACTGACATTCAAACCTTCAAATAAGATTTTTTTCTTATTTAAGTTTGGCATTCATTATGATGATTAAGACTTAAAGTCCATTGTGAATATGGTCAGTGCAGGATCCAACACTTAAAGGGGTTTTCCTGTGAAGACAGACAGGGAGTGTATCTTTTAACAGCTTGTTAATTCATTGGGGATAACTCTGACTTCCATCTGTTGGTAATATGCTATGATGCAACCGTAAAGCTGGCATTATTTAAATCAAATTACAAAGAAGTCATACCCTCCGACAACAAGGGAAAACCATTGGGTCAATGTTATCATGTTTTAGCTGCTGTCCCACCTCAGTTACGCAGAAATTCTTTATCTGCATCATGCTTATCCAGCTGAGCAGAGACAATGTGTGGCAGCCACCACAGATAACATGCAGCGTCTACAGTTGGGCCAGAGGTGTGGTTATGAATAGACAGACCTTTTTTTTTTTTTCTCTTTCAACATGTGACCCCGGTAAGTGTAGTTTATTGACTGAAGGGAGTGACAGCAGCAGGGTGTGATAAAAGTTTCATGCCAGTTATTTAAATATAAGCACATCTCCCTCTGGATGTAGGAAGCATCTGTTTTATCRTCAATGCTTTGAATGTCAGTTAAGCTCACCCAGAAGTTCATTTTCTCTGAGTCAGTGGTACAGTACTGGTAAACCTTTATTTTACTTCCAGTTCAGTTACTAATAAATAAAATGGGTGCCTTTTTACATTAATAATCAAGTAAAAAATTAAACAAATAAAAATGTACACTTGTATCTTTTTAGTCCTGTGCATGCAAGATGTAAATATAACTGAACGTTTTTACTTCATTTTACAATTTGGTTCAAGAAATAAAAACGAGTAAATTACGCCTTAGTAAGCAGTACATATTGYATTTTATATGTCCATGCAGACGACAGATGCCATCAAAAGCTATWTCATTCATATCTTTCAAATATTTAAGAAGTTTCCAAATATAGAGTATTACTTGAGTTGTTTCTTTTACTTTCCAGTCATTGCCAAATAAACCTAAATTGACTCATCAAAGAGGCCAGGTGAGCAAACACAACACAACTTTTGTTTATTAATGTATTGTGTGCATGAGTGGGTGTGACTGTGTGTCTGTGTGTGAAACCACAGAAACCTGTCAGTGACTCATTCAACTTTGTCAGTTGTGTTGAAGCAGGGAAACATMTAGAGGACAGTGGACCACCAGGACTTCTAGATTTGAGTCACCCATGAACCTAACGTACATGTTTGTGGTTTGTGGTCTGATGACACTGAAGTCAACCCACAAGGGAGAATGTGTAAACTTCACTCAAAAAGGCAGAGAGGTGAATCTGTAGCCTTCTCACTGAGGTGTGACAACCCCAA